CCAGCCACGCTGGCCGGGGAATTCTCAGAGTTGAAGTCCACATGTCTTAAAATTGTGAAGGTTGAGAAGCACTGCTCCAGAGTCCATAATATTATGAAAGGAAAAATGTGAATAACAATTTGAATGCAGATGTTGACAGATATTGCTAACTGTAGGGGGGATTAATTGAACTGGTATGGATCGGTGTAATTGTGTATGAATTTTTGCTAAAATCTATGGTTGCAAATAAATGTACTAAATGAAATGAAATTTGTAAATACATTCTAGGTAAATTAGAAGAGGCAGGAAAATGCATGCACACTAGGAGAAGGCAGGGATTAGAAATTACCTCCTTTTCTGCCACATTTGTTCAAAGGCATCAGCAAGTTCTACATTTGTGATTTCTTCAGAATCTTGAAATTTCAAGAAACCATTCCCACCGTGACCTTGGCCAAAATAAATAAAATAAAATATAAATCAGGATAACCTGAAAAAATATTTTCTGAAATCTTCTAACAATACAGTTGGCATCAAACTATAACAAGACATAAACACGCTCTTGCCCACCAAGGGAGCCTACATTAAGGCAGATGAAAGAAGCAAGGCAAGAGAGATGTGAGAAATTGCTTTGTCTATTGGAACTCAGCTTTAGCAAGCTGAAAAGCCAAATCAATTCAGCTTTACAATTTAAGAAGTCTGTATTACCCGCTTCCCTCCTAACTTCCCCTGAGTCACTGCAACTACTAATATATATGCAGCCACACATCTTGGATTCTCTTTGGGATCTGGATTCCCAGAGTAATAATGGATACTTCTAAGCTAAGCTAGAAAAATATCTATAGTGCTTGCACAAAGTGTTTAAACATTAACTACATTCACACATATGCTGGGCCAGATTTTTAAATTATGATTTACTGAATATACCACTAGCTTGTAAAGTGTATAATCCAAGCATTTCAGCATCCCATCTGCACATCTCAGAGTGCACACCATAGGACTGAACATGAATTTTTTTTGGGGGGGGGCGATGGGGAGATTTAAGGATGGCAACTGTAATGAATCAGCCTTCCATTGACTATGTAGATTTTTGCTTCTGTAGCTAAATATTATGCAATGTATTTGTTGATTAAATTCTTGCATTGATTATATTTAAAAATCCTAGTATTACCTATATATGCATTGATGATTGATTGTAATGTAAGCATTTTAGTGTGAGAATGAAAAATGATGGAAACAATTATGAAGGCTATAATGATTCTGATTATGCATTAATCATTGCCTAGAATGAATATTAATAAAGCCAAACTTGTATTTGGCTTTTCAGGTTCTACAGAAGACAAGTGTGAGATAAACACAATTCCCTCTGGGATTTCTACAGTTCTCACCTGGCCCTATTTAAACAAGCCATTAAAACCTGGCTGTTTCCAGGCCCTAGGTCAGAGTGGTGATGGAGTCTTTGTGGGATGTTCTTGTCTTCTGAGTAATTGTTGATTTTTTCCCAACTTTCTCCTTTTATTATATAATTCTGTGTTCCGCTGAATCTTTATTGTGCTATTTTGTAAGATGCTCAGAGTTGTAACTGATTGGGGTGGCCCATAAATGTCAAAGCAAGCAAGCAAGCAGGGGCTCTTAAAACTGAACCATAAGCTGAAACAAAGGAGATACTATGCAACACCTATTGTTGATGTGTGCTAAATTACAGAATCAGTTTCTGAACAAAGAAAGGACCAATAAGAACTAAGAAGACCTGCAAGGATACTTTGTGATTCTTATAACCCTAAGAAGATATATTTCTTCAGAAGCCTATAAAAGTCCTCACCTTACAGCAAAAGGACATGATGCTTCTGTCTCCAACTAAGCTCATCTGCTACATTCTACTCAAAGAACGTAGAAGGTAGCTATCCAAAAGTGTGAAAATATGAATATGAAACATATAAATTAACGAATGAATGGGAAATTTGGACACAGTATTATTTAGGTTTATAAGAAGCTCAATTTATAGCATATTGGAAGAAAGTGATAGCAAACCTCTTCCATACTGTTGTCAAAAAAAATCAAGTAAATGCACTCTTAAATGAGACTTTGCTTTTATTTTATTGAATGTAGGTGTTAAACTTACACTTGGACTGCTCAATAACTTTCTTTTAATTATCCTACAGTGCTGATCAGATCACTCCATCAAGTTTTAGAGTCAAATACATTAAATAAATTATTGACATAATAAAATGGCTTAAGGCATCAATTTACCCTTTAAAAAACCACCAAAACCTGGAAAAACAAGTCAGATTTTTGGCTCTTGCCCATTGCAGTGAAGTCATGACATTACACCCTTTGTAGTCTCCAGGTAGGATACAAAAACAATGTACAGGAACCAGCAATTCTGTTGCTAAGTGATGCAGCTGTTAATGAAACATCACGTGACCACATCTGACTTAGGTCAGTTCTGCTGTGGCTGTTAAGCAAATCACCTGCTGCTGTTAAGCACAATGTCATATGACCACAACCTGTGACTTAATAATGGCTTTCCCATTGACTTTGCTTGTTGGAAGCTGGCTTGAAGGTCGCAAATGACAATTACATGACTGTGGGATGCTGCAACCATTGTACATGCATGCTGGTTGCCAAGTGCCTGAATAGTGATCATGTGACCACAGGGATGCTGCAACTGTTGTAAGTATAAGGACCAGTCATAAACCTACTTTTTCAGCACCATCATAAGTTTGAATGGTCACTAAACAGGACAGTTGTTAACTGAGGACTACCTGTATAGCTTCCAGGTGGAAAAAGCTTCCTCACCTTGACAAAATGGATGGAATCATATATCACAGTAACCATAACACGATTAGTTGTGCTTTTACCTAGTATGATATATGACTTAAGTCATTAACACTGTAAACTATGTTTTAGAAATTAGCACAGTGTGTGAACCTGGCCACTATGTGATGCATCAGTCAGAAAGGTAATTACATCAGGCTTCTCCAAACTGATGCAAATGCCCATTCCAGTTGACTATGAATTTTGGGTGTTTATTGGCCACACAGTTGGGCATTCTGAGAGCTAAATCCAACTCATATGATCAAACTAAGGCAATCCATATGATCAAACAAACATTTCCAAGAGAACTCTCTAGATATCTGAGACTCTCAGCTTTTATTAAATATGCACAAAGGGAGTAAGCACAAGTCAAATACATATTGCATTTAAGTCAATCCACTGTTCAAGGATTAAACATCAATTGCATGCATAATTGTTACATTAATTATATTTTAATGATTAGACAGATTAATACTGGTTTTTCAATGCCTCAATACACTTATGCATCCTTGTGCAATTAACAAGAAGGCACTGCAAAAACAGCATTTTAGTGCTCTCCTAAATACATTTTCCTAGCTTTTGATAGGTTCAACATACAAATGAATTCACAGAGCAAGAGACATCAGGTTTCCATGTTCCTGATATTGACCTTCATTTCATTATTTTAATAAACGTACAAAAGAATAAGCTGTACAGGAAATATAGAGTCTCAAAACAGAGCCAGTTAGTCCAACTGACAGTGCTGTAGAGGTATTTCCATTATTACTATAGGAAATGCTAAAGAAAATACAATTACCTGTCATATATATGAGAATATTGCTTCTGTCATCAGAAAGCAAACGTTTGGAGCGAGGTGCACTTGCTGGGATTCGGCCCGTTAACACTCTCAAAAAATTTTCCACAGTAACCTAAATAATGAAACAACATCCTGTCTAGCGTATTCATTTAATCCTTCCAAGCTTTATTTTCAAATTAACTGTCCAATAAAATATACACTAATGCATACCACAGCTTATTAATGGATCAATAGATCAGATTAAGTTGTCACATTTCAGTAAGATACAGGAATTTTTAATGTTATTAATGCAATGCTTATTTATTACTGTAGAATAATAGTTTATTTCTTAAACTTATCTAACACATCTACCACCAGTCTAGTCTTCATAATATACATTCAGTGCTTTGAATACCTGTCAAACTGCATTATTTTATCTCTGAGAACCATTTCAACATTTCCTTACCAGCAACACAACTAGGTGTTACCATGGAAAAATGCTCATAAACATGTTTTAAGGCTTAAAATTCTGCATGATTTATGGAAAATAACATTCCAGTGGTTAAAAAGATTTGATCACAGATCATTCATCTGGCCAGCAAAGATAAAAAAAAGAGTCCTTCCATGAAGCTTCACATCTGCTAGCTCTGAAGATAAATTTATAAGGCTCCAAAAGTACTCAGATAACCATGCTTGTGACAGTCACTAACAACACTCAAAATCTCAACCCCTATACAGGTAGTCCTCAGTTAGCGACCACAATTGGGACTGGCAGCTCTGTCGTTAAGCGAAGTGGTTGCTAAGTAGGAGATCATGTGACTATGACTGTGCTTTCCAGCTCAAAACTGATGAGAGTAATCAATTTCACGCTTTCAGCTTTTGTTTGCCTCCTAACCACTCCCCCACCCTTTGGAATGCTCACCCCAGCACTGAGATAATTAGCCAGAAGGGAATTAATGTATTTACATTCATTGGAGAGGAAGGGATTACAAGAGTAAGCAGGCACACAATGGGGAATGCACATCAATAGCAATGTGGTGGCACTGGCAGCCCCAAACACGGTATGCAAACAGCCCAATGTATTCCCTATTGTGTGCCTGCTTACTCTCTTGTAATCCCTTCCTCTCTAATCTCTCTACTCTGCAAGTGGGGAGGAAAAAAACAAACGATTTCTATAGGCAATCTCTCCTTTGTCTGACCCATTCCCCCCCCCCCCAATAGAGCAGAGAGATTGGAGAGGAAGGAATTACAAGAGAATAAGCAGACACACATTGAGAAATACACATCAAAAGGAGTGCACTTCAGGGCTGGAAACCGCAAGCGTGCTACACAAACAGCCCAGTGTATTTCCCATTGTATGCCTACTTATTTCTCGTAATCCCTTCCTCTCCAATCTTTCTGCTCTGTAAGTGGGGGGAAAAAAGAAAAACAAAAGGTTAGGCACAGGACAATGCATACTGACTGTAATGTCAACCATGTGACTGAGGGACACTGCAAATGTCGTAAATGTGGGCATTGGTTATAAAGTTCTTTTTCCAGCACTATCATAACTTTGAATGGTCACTGAACAAAGCAGTCAGTAAGCGAGGACTACCTGTACATCATAATGTTTTCTTTCAAGAAGTCACATAGAAAGATAGAGATACCAAAATGTAATAAAATCTTGCAAATTTCTTTTTCCATAAAAAGTGTATGCACTTACAGAAAAAGGCATCAAGAGAACCTTATCTTCTATATACAGAAGGTACATACACAGGTGTAGGGAATTTTTAACCTTCTAGACATTACTAAACTAGACCACTCAACATTCCTCATCTTTAGTCACAATGCTAAAATTCTGAGTTTTGTGTTTGGGATCCATATGTTTTCCATACCTGCTTTAAAAGGTTCAGCTGGGGTCAACACTGTGCCCAATTAACTGGAAAAAATATCTCAGTTTTCAGGTACTGACATATCCCACTAATTAAACAACAATTTGACCAGATTTAGTAGGCTAAAGATTTTTATACTGGAACATGTGAAGTTCTAACACTCGTACATCATTTTGAATGTTTTCCAGGCTTCTCATTATGCTGAAGAACATCTCTGTGGCCCAAGAATTTGCAAGTTCTCACCAAGTCAATTGACCTAAATGTTATCCTTTTCCTCATTGTCTTTCTACATTTTGTATTTAAGAAAGTATTTAAGAATTAACCTCATAATTTCTGTAATCCACTTCCACGTCATCTCCATAGACATTCAGTTCCATGTTTTTGTGACTAAATACAGTGGCTGGAGCTGGATTTCTTGGATTGCAGGCCATATCATCTGCAAGCATTAAGACTATATGACTAATTGGAAAGAAAAGAAATGAAGTTATACAATTTGAGTGCAGTAGCAACACAAAGCCGCAAAAAATGTACACAGTCTGCTAATTTTGAAAGGCTGTTTAGTACTTTTAATCCTATTTTCTATGCAAGGCATTTTGTGACTAAGCCAAAACCTCACACAGAATGAAGAACAGCTTTTAAAAGTTAATAAGGCTAATGTTATTTGCACATGTTTTTGGTTCTATACAATTTACGAAACTCAATAATGCTTGCAAAGTGCTTTAAAACAAGAATAGGTGGCTGGCTAATCCTGAAAATCAATCTCTGAAAATCAATCCATTTTTTCTCTCACTGTACTCATTACCATTGTTTTATCATTAGCATAGATGCTAGTGCAGAGAGCAAAACCAGGGCCAGCTGGCAGATCTAACTTATGCAGAAAGTACCAGGTTCAATCTCTGGGGTCCCTATTAAGAAACAATACTGAGTATCGTCACTTATGGCATGTTAGCCATCTTAGTTAAACTTGGGAATCCATCTTATATTTGTGCCCCTGCAAACAAACCTCTTTCCTGTTCTTAGGCAGGTTTTGAAGCAGGCTGTCAAACCTGGAAGATCTTTTGGACTACACTGTCCTTATTAAGACTGGGCATTTATTTATTTGATATAATTACAGTGATCATACATCCTTTATTTCAGAAAACTGTCCTTTAGATTTATGCATTTTTCTTGGTTTTGCTCTTGAATTTTCCTTTGTAAAGCAAAATCGTGAACAATTAATTTTTTTTTATCCTTATGAACCTCTTTCAGATTTGCCCCTTTTTCAGGTTTGTCCT